TTCGTTTTGATGAATCATGTCATTTGGTTGATTACACTGCAATGGCCTAGCTGTTAAAAAGTTTCTCTGTGTTTGTCTTTCTATTGTCTCTTTGTTATGTAGGAAATGTTTTTGATGACAAGCAGGTGCATTTATAGAGCTTAGACCATCATAAAGATCTCTGGAGTCAGTGCGGCCTCTAGACTCCTTTGATACCCTTGTGTAATCCTGTTAAACTCTAGGGCTTCTTGCACTAAGCCAGTTCCATCTTATCCTTCTGGATTAGGGAACTAGTGAATTGGTGAGGCTCTTTAATCTGTTTCTCTGAATCAAGCAGACTAGAAATCAGTTAGTGATACTGTATTATTGTTAAGTTTAAACATTCCTATTATCTGACAGACTGGGCTTGTTCCTGTGTGCTGACATTTGTCTTAGTGCAGTGGAACAATCAATGACTGCATAGAATACAACCATGCTGTAAAAATGTTCTCAGGGAACTTTTTATTTGAAGTGTCTCATAAGTTTTTGCATTAATGAATGGTATGTCTGATATGGAATCTGTTCTTTTTGAAAGGATGCCTAGAACTTCTCCAGAGGTTTCCTATTTTACAGTGTGCTGCTGCTCAGAATGCTTTGGGTAACACAGCTGCTAAAACTCTTTGCCTAAATTTATCCTGACACTTTCTCTTGCTCTCTGCTTCCTTATGTGACCATTCACATCAAGCGCATTTGCGCTTAGTGGTGTATTTATACTGCAGCAGGAAAATGCTATAACACCTCTGCTATAGTGAGTTTGAATGTATATTGTAGATACAGAGTCAATTTAATACATTTTTGTAAACAAACTGTAAGATGCAACATACAAATAACAGCTGCAATGTATTACATGTGCAAATAATATGATTTACACACTAAATCCAGCAGAAACCCCAGCACAATCTGCCTATTATGTCAGAAATCTTCCTGAACCTCATAGCTGTTTGCTGCAGACCCCCTCCTTAAATGCATAAAGTTGAGCATTTCTCAACTTTTTCACACTATCATTGCTTTCCATGGTCTGCTGTCAATCCCACAATCATGCATTTTTATGATGCTGTGTCAAGTCATTTTTAAAAATACCTCACCTCATACTTCTCTTTCTTGGCCTCTGAATTATCCTGAAGACATTTCTTGCATTTGTGCATGCAAGTTATGTGAGAGTTTTTCTTTAAACTCCATATGTAGCTCACATTTGGCAATCTGCCGTACCTGCAGTGTCATCTGCCACAGACTTTCAGATATCTCAGACATGTGGAGAGGCACATAGTGTCGCTCTCACAACATACCTACTGCATTTCATGTCTGTAAGAATTAATCGTGTCCGTACAGCTCTGCATTTGATTCTGATATTTCATGGATGTCAGCTCTGCATTCTGAAATATCTGGCATACATGCTTATACCAACATATTTAAGCATCATATTTGAACATTAGCAGCACCGCCAAATTTGTGACTGTGCCTCTCCCACAGTGACAGCATAGCACAGACACATGACTACAAAAGATAACCTAAAAATGCCAGGAATGTTGACACTGTCTTCCACCCTGCAGTACTGCCTAAATAGTAGATCAATGAGAAGGAATGCAGAACAATCTGAGCAGCATGTGACCCATGAATATCCTGGCGCTGCCCTGCACTCATACCACACAGTTCAGGCCTGAATGTAGTGTCTGTACAAGTGCTACAATGCTATTCTGGGCCTGTTGGTCCATGTACTCTGAGATCAGAACTGGTTACATAAAGAGCAGCCAATCGTAATCAGGGAGATCACAGAATTCTTTAGAATGGAAAAAGTACTGCTTATTCAACAATTACAAGATTGTTTTTCTGTTCCACAATAATGTTTAAGCATGTTCACCGAAAAATAAGACCTGTGTGAGTTTCTTTCTTCTGTGGAAAACAAAATACATTTTTTTAACAAGTTTCAACTGGTTTTACAGTTAAAGTCAATGGAGTCCAATGTTGTTGTTGTTGTTGTTGTTGTTTTTCATTTTTGCATGAGCCTTATAAAAAGGTAGACTGATATCTGCAGCCATGTTCTCTAACTTAACTATCAAGTTTTTTTGTATTTTATATTTACTATATAAAAAAGCTTTTTCTGGACATGTTCCTGGATCAACATCTTTTGTTGATCCTGGATCAACATTACTGTCCAAAAATAAAGACCTAACCATATCCCTACCCCTAAACCTAACCCTACCCATAATTTATTCCTAAAAGCAGTGGGAAATGATAGGTAAATAACAAGGGTGTAGAAGCATCTAACCCTGATTGTAATCCTGAAACTAACATTTCTTAAAAACGTATCCCTCGATTCTGATTGGTTGATTGGAATGTTGTTCCAGGATCAACAAGGATGTTGATCCAGGAAAATGTTGTAATTGGTGAAATCACGTTCACCTTGTCATTATAGTTGTGGCCTATTCTTAAAGAATTAGAACAATAATTAAAACATTATCATTATAGTTATCATCTTTGGTGAGAACAGGCCATAACTCTGAAAAGCTTGTTCACATACACAAGCATTAAATTCATGGCATTATGGTGTAGTTACATTTACCGTTGCTCTACAAATTTTCACTGGCAAAATCTAGTAATTTCAATAGGAATCCATGAGATTTGCATGAGGATGAAAGAATTCCACATGCAAATTTCTCAACAATTTTCGCAACATTTGGTCATGCAAATTCATTGCACTGACAGAAAGCTGCTTGGTTTGAAAGTGACTTCCTTGTGTGCTGTGCTTCATACATCTACATCAAGGGTGTCTAAACTCGGTCCTGGAGGGCCACTGTCCTGCAGAGTTTAGCTCCAACTTGCCTCAACACACCTGCCTGGAAGTTTCTAGTATGCATAGTAAGACCTTGATGCGCTGGTTCGGGTGTATTTAATTGGGGTTGGAGCTGAACTCTGCAGGACAGTGGCCCTCCAGGAGAAGGATTGGACACCCCTGATTTACATTATTGACAAAAAAACAACTGACTTTTTTGTCTTGTGAAAATTTCACAGAACCTTTGCAAATGTATCCACACCTTTAATCATAACCACATGTGTGAAAGGGGCATCTATAATCCAATTAGTTCAAAACAGCACTAACAGAAAAAGCAGATGTCAAACCCAAAATTTGCTCTCATATCTTCACATCTCATTGTTCCTGAGTCACTAGACCCAGAGAACACTATGTCTGTGGCTGGTGATCAGAGCGAGCATTAGTGCTAACAGATGCCAGTACTACTGTCTGGGTTGAGTCACTAGCTGCAGGGCTTACAAAGGAGGGGCACATGTGTGCAATGCAGACATCAAGCCAGCTGCAAAGCGGTTTTCAGGGTGAAGTGTTTTTTCTTTTTCTTCGGTTTGTTGAAGCCTTGTGCACCTGTGAACACAAATGAGAAACAAAATGTTTTAATCGGTGGGGAGCAACAAGTCATTGCCTTTTACAAGGTGGTGAGTAGTCTAATGCTGAAACTCTATTCACAGGAAAGTTTGGTGACCTTTCACTTACGTTTCCTGAAAAGTACTGTGTGGAACTTTACTGTGTGTTTTTCACAGAAGGTCTCTTGGTCTCTGAGAAAAACGCTGCGCCTTGGGCGGAAATATGATGAGAAATGCATTTCATATTGAGAGCATGTGAGGGCCCGTCACTAGTCACATGCAGTGCACTCTCCTCTGAGCAGGTGACAGATGTGTGAGTTGCTTGTCATTCAGTGAATGCAACAAATGACCAGACAGAGTAAGGCAGACATATTACAACATTTATTTAAAAGTATGTAATCTGTCTGATATTTTAAAGGAAATGCAGTCTAGATTAGCCTCTCCCCACAAAAAGCAGCTCAGAAAAAAAGTGTCAACTGCACCTCTGAAACAGATATAAAGGCATTTTTTTGTTTCTGAGAATACTTGGACAGCTGTGATGAAAAAGACTACAAAGAATATGTTTGTGGGTGTTTGTTACTAGAATGACCTTAAGGGGATCTCCATGGTACCTCCTTTGCAATTGACCCAGTTTCTTGACTTCAATGCATTAGCTGTTATTAATTAATGAAAGTAAACTGCAAAGATCAATTACTATCCAAGGGAGTGTGCGATTCTCTTTGTGAAACCGCTGTCTGCTGTTCTTTGTTTTCATAACAGGTGTGTGTTGCTTTGTGTGTGCATGAGCTTAGCTTTCTTGTCAGTGGACTTTCAAGTGCACAAAGACTTTTCAGGCACTACCTGAAATGCTCTTTTAAGTTTGGATGCACTTGCTTCGGGCATTTGCCATCTGTACACAACACCTGGTGCAAGTATTTGCTGTTAAACATATGCAGCTTTCTTTTCAGAAAATTTCCAGTGATGTAACTTTGGAAGACAGCACGAGGCTGACTGGACAGCGTAACTAGAGATCAAACAAACCGCAAATGAGTGTCTTACTGGTAGTTTAGCACCCTTTCTCTTGTAAACCACAAACCATATGCACACAATGAAGTTGAATGAGTTGAATTGACTTAGTAAATGGAGTCATCAAGGAAATGGGATTCGTATTAACTTGCTGCTAATGTACTTCAGCTTGTACAAAATATGTATTTTTTATTATTACATTTCATAATTGTATTTAATGCAAAATAAAAAAAAAGTGCATTTTAGATTTAAAATCACCCCCTATATTGTAACCTTTACTGTCAAGACGGCTCAATTTCGACTGTTGTGTTTGGTGAGTTCAGCTCAATTAGTCATCCTGCCTCTGCTCCAAATGGATGGTGCAAAACCTACACATGACAGAAGTCAGTCCCCCATTGCAAGGGGGGCGCTTCAGTTGAGCAAGCCCTTTAAAGAAAGCAGCTGGTGCATGGGTGGTGAAAGTTCAGTAAGAGCTTGGAGAGGTGCCAGTTTCTCTAGTGCAATCGCAACCTCTCTTTCTCTCTTGTAGACTGTGTTACTGAACTGCCCTGAACTCCCTCCTCTGATGTAACGGAGTGAAAATAAAACACATTGCTGAAAGGTGACAACTTTGAAATGAAACATACCACTTTTAAGGTATTTATTTTAAAATGTATTGCAGAAATGGTGGCTTCTTCACCACAGTTTGACATTGCATTATGAATATTTGACAAAAAGCACAACTTCATAATAGGAACCATTTATGGTAGGATGGGAACCCCCCCCCCCAGGATATCACAAAAGACAAGTTACACTAGTGTCCATGTAATATTTTTCAGACAACACCCCAAGTGCACATTAGACCTCAAAACATCTTCAAAATGTCACTTAAACTTAGTTCCTCTTTAAAATCCACATCTCATTCCTCAAGAACACGAATTCCAAGGCTCTTCTTCGCCGTCAATCTCATGAACGTGCTCTCACAGTCCACCTGTCCTTTACTCTCCTGTTGTCTCCGCGATGCCACCACAACAGACTTGAGAAGCACGGGAGCTTTCACTTTTCCATGCTCGTCCAAAAATAGATTCTGAACATCAGCTTTTCCAGGACGGCCAACCGTTCGCTGGGTCAGTCCACTTTTATCCTCCCAGTTGTGAGAATAATCCAGGCAAGATCTCAAAGCTTTTTCGCTTTGCACCGGTGTACCCTTTAGGATGGACATCTTCGACTTGTTTCTGGTTTCATTCACGTGCCAAAACCATCTCCTATCAGCGCTCTGGCAGAGTAATCGTAGGCACCCATTCGTAGACATTGCGGCTCTCCTCACAGAACAAGCTCAATCTCTCAAGAGCAGAATCTTTCCAAGAGTCAGCACTGGGGCTCTTTGGGGGAAAAAAATAGAAGCAATATTAGTAAGACACGCAGATGTAGTGCAAATGTAGGTGTTGACAAAGTGTAGGTGCAGATGCAGTGAAGAGGAGTTGAGATACTCACAGTTACAAGTATGCAGTGTACGTCCTTAGGTTCCTCATCCTGATCACTGCCCACAATGTTAGCAAGACGTTCAATGTCATTCACACGAACAATGTTGATGTCGTTGTCGAAGCAGAAGGCTTGGATGAGAGTGAAGTGGATCTGCAAGGCGATGTCACATTCATACTCCTCATCCGTAGCCAGGACGCAAAAAGCAACGCTGTCTGGGTCACTGAGGTTGCATAAAGGAGATATGTTGATTAGGGAACGGTTCAGCGTGTGCTGCTTGCATAAGGATGCACCCAATTATTCATTATTGGGAAGACTAGGTAATTAAAGAAACATTTCCATATGCCACCCTCTCAGTGTCTAATGACATAATGCATACTAAAAGCATCACCTTAAGCCGTTTAGTAATAAATAAACAGATACTTACACATTCATGACTTGTGCAGACTCATACACCCCAACGGTAAGGCAGTCCTGCTTCCTAGCGGAGACCAGAAGCTCCTCTAGTGCCGTTCCTGCACTCTGCATTCTGGAGAACACAACCGGCGTGTTAGTCAATATACTTTACCTAGCATTTCTTTGATAAAACGCAAAAAAAACGAAAATAGCATCAGCTGAATAAGAAACTCACCTATCGCCAGTAGCAGCTGCGTTATCTTGTCCACTAAATTCTTCAAAAGTCATTGTTTAAATCCACGTTAAGTCGCGTTTTGCGTGCGTTTCCCTTGCGGTGAGCTTTGAGTTTATGACGCCGTGTCAAGTGCTCGCCTTGTTTTATACGGAATCAGCTGAGTTTATCGGCAGTGGGCGGGCATTCCGCTCATACCCGGTTCTGATTGGCTGGTGGCAAGGGTGTATGTAAATTACTCTGATGCAATCGCCTTGACTGTAAACAGCCCACGTGGGTATTCAAATATTACTCTGTCAACAACACAAAGTACGGCTCGTGCTCGTTCTTACTGCTCGGGTACAAACTGCGTGAAGTTGTTGAGTTCATTTTATTATTTAATCCCTTCATCTAGAAAAACGGAATTATGCCAGAGTTAATGTGGTTAACTCTAATATCGCACATTTTAATTTGTTTTATATTGATGTTAATTAATCTAACCCTCACAATGGTCCTCACAAAGGTGACTTCAGGTAGTTGGTTTGTTGTTGCTCCAGTTCAAACCAGCTAGGAACCAACTACCATGTTTCATGCATGTATCCAGCAGGGTTGCTGTCCTTGGTCTCCACAATGTAAGCAAAACATGACCCCCACCAGCCCCACAGACACAAAGACTGGTGAGTGAGGCACACGCCACTCTTTTGCATTTGTAAAGGAGTCATCCTAATTTATGTGTCTTTGTCGTGTGCCCATTAATGACTGCTTGGCTGGCCCTAAAGCAGGAATAACAGCCTCATGTTCCACCTGCCCCTGGCTTTGTTGCAGACTGCAGAAAATGTGTCCCAGTGAGACCAAGAGCCAAAACTTTTGTTCAAACTTTGGAAGTCAGTCAGTTGAATGCATACATAGAAATAGCAGATAACTATCACTCCACCTCAGGCCTGTTTAGCTCTTAATACCACGTCTAAAACGGTGAGCAATGTTATTCCCGTAAATAGAGATTAATCAATTATTCAGTAACACCTCGAAACAGCGCTGCACATATCAGACTACAACATCAAGTCTTGTTCAAACTGGCTATTGTAAGTTCGGTAATTCTGTATGCAGCAGTTTGCTGACACGACTATTTAGTTGGTCTTAACTGGTCTCCCAGCCTGGTTTCAGAGAGGTTATAGGCACTTTGAGATAGTCAGGATGGTAGAGTAGCTGAAGACCATTTTAATCGTCTGGGAGACCTGCTTAAACCATCAAACCTGGTTTAAACGGATTCTTACAGCAGGGTAGAGTAGATATGACTTGATCTATGTTTACTTGCAACTTTTAGAGACGTTTCTCCTAATATGCCAAATGATGTAATAACTAATGCGTCAATATTATTTAAAAGCACCGAGATTTGGGGTTTATGATTGATATTACTCTTATGTTAGGCGCCATCTAGCGGCTGTGCACAAGTGGCCGAGTGAATCACGCCATTCAGATACAAAAGATGCACTTGCTCATCATCTCAAATAGCAGGGATGAATATTTGCTCATGTTGAAACACTCCATAAATTCATGCATCTGAAATCAACCCTGCAGGGTACTGATACACGATACCACAGTTAAACACAGTACAACTGGATGATCGAAAGTGGCATTATATCAACAGATTTATTGTTCTCCTTTTCTAAAGCCACATGTGCAGAACTAATGATAGCACAGTGATTCGAGATGTTGTGGCGCCATCTGCAGGTACAACAATGAAATAAGAAAAAATGATTTATCAGCGTTCCACAGATATTTAAATGTCCTTTTAAACTCTTCTAATTTACTCTTGGTCATATATATATATATATATATATATATATATATATATATCAGCGTTTTTACTTTTAACATTGTAAGCAATGATATTATCTACTTGTATATACTTAATGAGCTTTTTTTGAGGTTATGACGTTTTTTTCGTATGTGTGTCAAAATAGATTGGTACAGATTTACGTCTCAGTTTTAGCGAATGCATTTGCATTAAAGTAAAACAGGATAATTTAGATTTTTATAGGTTACTTTGTGTTGATTTGCATTTCTTTCTATCAGCCTAAAAAGGACATGTCTGACTGTGATAACATGCTCGGACATGTACAGAAGACTGACCTAGTTTCAAGGTTTCGTCTTTTAAATATGTTCTTGGTAACATATATATATATATATATATATATATATATATATATATCAGCGTTTTTACTTTTAACATTGTAAGCAATGATATTATCTACTTGTATATACTTAATGAGCTTTTTTTGAGGTTATGACGTTTTTTTCGTATGTGTGTCAAAATAGATTGGTACAGATTTACGTCTCAGTTTTAGCGAATGCATTTGCATTAAAGTAAAACAGGATAATTTAGATTTTTATAGGTTACTTTGTGTTGATTTGCATTTCTTTCTATCAGCCTAAAAAGGACATGTCTGACTGTGATAACATGCTCGGACATGTACAGAAGACTGACCTAGTTTCAAGGTTTCGTCTTTTATAGATCACTTTATAAGAATCCCAGTTTTGAAATTAGTGCCATTATATGCATGATGTCTAGTGTTATTATCAGTATTATTTTATTGTTCATTCATTTATTTATATCAATTTTCATTGTGATGGAATGGAAAAAATGATTTTTTTATAGTAAACTGATCATTTTTTTATTAATTATAACATGATAAACAGTTTATGAACATTCCAAGTTTACAGATACATCAGTGCATCATATGACCAAAGAATGAAAGAAATCAATAAAAAAAAGACTGCAATAAAAAGTATTTTAAGAAACAAACAAAATAACATTAAAAAATAACATAAAAATGCTTCTCTGACACAGCAGATCATGACATTCTTTTCATACGTATATACATATACAGACATAAACAATTTTTTATTTGTGTGGATATGTGCAACACTATGCCCCCTCTAAAATGTACATTTAATGCTAAATTTACAGCGGTTTGACGGAAGAGGTTCTAAGCCACAAACAATGCACAAGCAAAAAAAAAAAAAAATGTAAAAGCTTTTCCCTTTTCTAAATACACTCCCATATCACTAGGACTGATCGTTTTTCAGTAGTGGAATCTCTTTAAGCATGTGGCTCCCTTACTAAAAAAGGGAAAATTATATTTTACTAGATGCCCAAAAGACCTAAAATGTCTCAAGTAATACAGACAAATTAATACATTTCCTGAATGTACTAAAACTCAATGTGGACGCAATGCAGAGTTCAAAACAATATGACAATATGAAATTCACGTTTCCAGTCATCATTTGTGCAGATGAATAGGACAATAACATCCTAACAAATGGCTGCTATTATTAAAAAAAGTGCTGTTATAGCATGACAGTAGATCCATGTAAAAAAATAAAAATGAAGGAAAAAGAGAAAATGGCTATACTGAATTTTTCATCTAAAACAAAGCAATTTTTGTTTTAGATGCTCTCCTACATTTCATCAGATCGGTGCTGTTGTATTATAACTGACGTGGGTTTCTGTTCCATCCAGCTCTCCTTGGTTTTGCTCTGGCTGTCGTAGATCACCGGAGATGCTGCTGAGTTCCTGTGGGACTCTGAGAGAGATCCGTCCGCTTTGAGATCTGACTGGGCAGGAGTGGGGAAGTCAGCAGATGAGTTGCTGTTGACACCAGACTCAGAGTCAGACTGCTCGACCCGCTGGTAGTCAGGTGTGTGGTTCTGAGCGCCGGACAGCAGCACCTGGTTATTCTCTACAGTGGCCATGAGGAGGACATCCTGATCTGGCACTTCTTTAGCAGACGTGGATATAATGTCGTCTTTCAGGGTAGCTGGATAAGACCGCAGGGCTCGGGACATTCCTAGAAGCAGGGGAAAACCATGTTTTTTAATTATGCGTAAAGCACCAGTACTTAGGTAGAAAACTGAAGGGGAAAAAAAAAAAATCATAACACAGTTATTTTAACCTTTTTGTAATACAATATTTTAAGTAGGTTTTTTTTTACTTTACTTTGCTCCAGGCATATTATAGTTAAACAAAACTAAAACATAAAAATGTTTTGTTACTTGAAATAAAATAACTGTTAACTGAAATAAAATATTTAAAAAATTAAGCTTATTTTATTTCAGCTAGTTTCCAAGGCAACATTTCTCATTTTGGTTTACTTTAACTTGAACTACTAAAATAACTAAAACTAAATAGACTAAAACTAATAAATAAAAAGTAATAACAACTATAGACATATTTAAAAACATACTAATAAAAATGACAAAAACGCACTACCAAATTGCTAAAACTTTAACAAAAATTAACATACAAACAAAATATAAAAATAAACTATTTCAGAATATTAACAAGATTTATAATAGTATATCAATTACACTAAAATAACCTCCTAGATATCTAAAAAAACATGAAGCTTGTATCTTTTATGTTTATATTTATTTTACTGCTTTTTTATTGACACTTACTAGACTATTTATGTATAACTTTAATCAATGTTTGTTTGAAAAAGGGCACATGCTACTAATTTTAATGCAATTTAAATATTATTAACTATTTAACTTATTTTTTAAACAAATTTTTAAAATAAGGAAGTGTTTATTGGCATATTAGTTATTGATATTCACATATCGTTAGCATATTAGTTATCCTTGTTAAATTAGCATCAATTATTGTGAGATTTCACTGGTATTGATTACTGAAACTGCATTACTGTATAAGTAGAACAATACAGTACAACAAAACAGAATAACAAGCAGGACAACATTCCTCAGCACCCTATGGAAACAATGACAAATGTTGTGCTCACCTGTAGATGACGTATACAGATCTTTCTGATTGCTGCTGCCAAAAGGATTGACTGAGGGGAAAATGATCAGACAGAAAGAAAGCAGGAACACCTGAAAAAGTGACAACAGAGAAGGTCAGGAAACACATCACACTGCCATTGTATTTCTGCAAGACACAAAGTTTCCATTACATGCTGGTGAAAGATTACACTCGTGCATCATATTTCATTTATGACCAATAAATATGTGTTCAAATAAAACCAACTCAACAGAACTACAACCCCACTGATAGATTACATTCTAGAGTGGCTAAATACTCACCATAATACAAGTGCTAGTTGTGGTGGTTTTCATTGTGTACATTTTCACCATAGCCTGCA